GGGGTTGCCGAAACCGGCCGGTACGGTACTGGAAACGCCGTTACGGGTACTGGAATCGATATTGTCCGGTCTGGTGACGGTAACGGTACCTAGGGGTGGCGGTTCCGGAACCGTCTCGGAAGCGTACCGTGTCCACCCTTATTCAAAGCACAGATCCACTACAATTGATTTGTTGGAGAAAGAAGGATACACCCCGATTCAAAGCAAGGATACTACAATTTGTTTGTGATTAGGAAGACGACACGTTGAAGAAGAAGGAGAGAAGATGAAGGTTGAAAGTGAAGGACCTGCACCTCACGGACCAGAGACAGAAGAAAAGTCCCAAAAATCCGGGTAAACTTCACCAATGGTACCTGAACTTTAGCCGGAATTTCAAAGTGGTACCTAAACTTCAAATACTTTCAAAAAAATCCCTGAACTTACACAAACCTTTCACTAAAAGTCCATTTGCCCGTTTCTAGGTTAATTTCCAGTCATTTGGGCCAAGAGAATGGCGTTGGTCCCGCCAGAATCGGACCATGTTGATTTTCCGGCGAGTTTGAGGTGGTGTGATGGCGGCGGGGAGCGGAAGAAAAGAATAAAAGAAATGGCGTCAAATTGAAAATTTTAAAATATATAAAATTCTAATTTGGCCCAAATGACCGGAAGTTAACCTAGAAACGAGCTTTAGTAAAAAATAAAAACATTTCATTGATTTTCGTATCATGAAAATGTACCAATAAAGACATCTTTTGGAAAAAATAAAAATGTTTAAATGGAGACAAATGAAATGTACGTTACTTCTTGTTATTTAATTTATTTTTATTGCAAACATAAAAAGTTGATTATTAAAACATTATAAAAAAATTAAAAAAAACATTTAAAAAATTAGTAGAAAAAAAAACAATAAAGAAAAGAGGGGGCATTTGTGCCAATTTCCATAACCATAGGGGGCACTGGAGATATTTCCATAATACTTGAAAAATATTTTAGTCTTGAGGTCATTGACATATACATATCAGAATAATGAGAGGTAATGGTGTAAGTTTTGAAACCATATGGGGTAGTGGTGTACATTTATTAAACCACAGAGAATCATGCTGCAATAAACCCGAGTAAATGCTCTAGTTAGTTGTTTTCAAAATAACATCTAATGCCATAATGCTTTCTATATTTAGTATTTTATTATTAAATATTACATCCATGATATTTCTTTTATAGAAAACTTTCCATATTTAGTCTTTTTTTATCTCTTAAGATGTTGGTGCTAATTTGAGTGCTAAAAATATAATTTAACATCACCTCTATGTCCAATAATACATTTTGATGTCCGCTTGACGAACAAGAGCATAATAATGACTATAAATATGGAGTAAGATTCTGATAAAAAACGACATCTGTAGACTATGGATGTAGTAGACTATGACTCTAGTTGACAAGCGTTACATCAACAGTGAAATTTTGCATTGGTTATGACAAAAAGAATATATGATTGTTTTTAGGTTGCTTATATCCTTCAATTTAGCACCAACATAGCAGAAACGAAAAAAATGCCTAAAGAAAGACCACAGACGTAATGTAACATCCTTAAATAGAGCCTATAAAGATTTAATTAAAAATAATAAAAAGAAAGAAATTGAATATAAATAAATGGAAAAATTACCCAAAATAATCCCAACTTTACCCGGTCTTTCAAAAATAATCTCACCTTTCACTGTGATGCATAATAATCCCAACTTTACTGAAATTTGTCAGTTTTGGGTCGCCGTTAAGTTTTTAACGGAGGGTTAACAGAGATGCCCATTTTAGGCAACAAAATGAAAGTTGGGATTATTTTTGATGAATTTTCATTTTTTTTATTTTTTTTTTAAATTTTTCATTTAAATTTTTTAAATTACTTTCTACCTCCATCGTCATTTCTTTTTCCTTTTTTAAAGATTAGTCATAGTTTAAAAAATAAAAATAATAGATATAAAAAATGAAAAAATGAGAAATGTAACTAAAATGATACAAAAATAATAAAACAAATAAGGTAATCAATGGAAACTAACTTGAAATTGGTAAAAGTAAAATAAAAATATACGGGTGGGTTTTAATATTTTACGCATTATACAAAGTATTAACATATCACTTCTTATTTTTTAGAAAAAATTATCTAAAATAATTCCAACTTTACCGGACGGCTTGTTCTTTTAAAAAATAAGTACTCCCTCCGTCCCGCTATATTCGTCCACTTTTGACTTTTGAAACTGTTCATCTAAGCACTTTGACTCATCAAATTCTCTCAATGTGTAAGCCTAAATATAGTCATGTGTGATTTTGTTTGATTTGTCTTAGCATATAGATTATTAATATATAATTTCTATAATTATTTAATATACAAATTACAAGATAAAATGGATTAAA